TTACTATTCCCATTTTCCAGATGAGGAAAATGAGATACAGAGGTTAAGTAACTGATTTGTGATTATATGGCTGATAAATGACTGAGCTGGCCCTTAAGTGCGTGCTCCAAGTCAAAACATCCTAGTCTACAGTTGTTCCCTGGTTGAGAGCCAAAGCAAGGGAATCTCATTGACTGAACTCCTCTTTCGTGGATTTGTCCTTTTGTTGAGCTGATTAGTGCCTACTATGTGCCAGGCACTGCTGTAGACTCTGAGAAGATCTGGTGAATAAGACAGACAAGTGGTCCCTGCTCCCCGGGCTTTCACTCTACATAATCACCAAGGAGAGCAGTAAGTGAGCAAGACAGTTTTAGATCATGATTCTTGCATGAAGAGCTTGCAGCCAGATAAAGGGCCCAAGGTCAGGAGGGGCTGTGATACAGGATCTCAGGGAAGGCCGCTCTGCTGGCCTGATGTGTGGGCTGAGTTCTGAAGAGAGAGACAAAGCCAGCCTTGGCCATGGTCAGGGTACAGCATGGATGCAGAGGAAAGATTCAATGTGAAGATCTAGGTGGAAGTGACCTTGTGGGGTTGGGGAGACAGGACAAAGGTCAGCACAGCCAGCTAGTATGGTGAGTGGGCTGCAGGGTGCTGCCAGATCTCACAGAGCTTGGGGTGGGGTGGGGTGGGGTCCACACCACCAAAAATCTGAGGATGGTATTAAGAGAGTCCATAAATTTAGAAAAGGAGAATTCACATCTTATGTTTTTTTCTAAATTCAAATAAACACAGTGGCTTGGGAGGTATGGCTCAAGAGGTAGAGTGCCTGACCCTGAGTTCAAATCCTAGTACTGCCCCCCCAAAAACCCAAAATAATGTTGAGTGTGGGGCACAAACCTTAGTTTAGCATTAACCATACCTGTGACTTTGTCACCAGTAGCACCTCTAATAGTTCTTGCTATATAAAGATGCACTTATGTCTCTCATCCCCCAAAACTATGAAAACATTTTGAAAAGTATTTCTATGTAATCATTTAAAGTGGTATGGGGGATTGAACTCAGGGCTTCACACTTGGTAAGCAAATGTTCTAGCACTTGAGCCACATCCCCAGTCCTTTTGCTTCAAGTTTGTTTTTCAGATAGGGTCTCCTGCTTTTGCTTGGACTGGTCTTGGACCATAATCCTCTTCTTCCCATATAACTTGGATTGTAGTTGTGTACCACCACACCTGGCTTGTTTTTGACATAGGATTTCACAAACTTTAGCCTTCCCTGGCTTTGAACCACAGTACTTCCATCTCTACCTCCTTCACAGCTGGGATTACAAGAGTGAGCCACTAACCCTGGGCCTGAAAACTACTTTTTTTGTGGTACTGGAGTTTAAACTCAGGACTTCATGCTTGCTAGGCAGGCATACTTGAGCCACTCTGCCAGCCCTTTTTTGTTTGGGCTATTTTTGAGATAGGGTCTCATGAACTATTTGTCCAGACTGGCTTCAAACTGTGATCCTCCTGATCTCTGCCTCCTGAGTAGCTAGGATTACCAACATGAGCCTCCAGCACTGAGCTTAAAACTATTTTTTAAACAAGAGATTTCCTCAAAAGCCACCAGACTGCCAAAGAGGTCCTTGGGACGAAAGATTAAAGGAAGCAATACAGAGGAAAATGGCACAGTCTGCTTTAGCCCTTCAGAATTCTCCTCTTAAGGTCAAACTCGACACACAGGCTCTGTTTGCACCAATCCTTCGATATAACCCTCGTGACAGTCACAAGAGGTAAATGTTATTGCACCCATTTTAGAGATATGGAAACCGAAGCTAAGACTTCAGGCCCTGTGCTCAGTGGGTGCATGGCAGAGCTGGGATTCAAACGTATTTCTCTGACCCCAGGGAATAAGAAGTCAGTGAACCAGAAGTCAAAGGTGAGCAATATCTGCTTGGCCTCCTGACCCCATGTGGATCTCTGTGCCCCACGACTTCACCCACGAATGACTTCCCCACCCTTTCTTTCCTAGATCTAGGTCCTTCCTAAGATCTGCCTTCATAGGCTAATACTGACTGAGCCAAGTCAGTATTTCATGGGGATTTTAATTTAACTCTAACGAAATTCATCCGATCCTGAGAATAGCCTGTCAGCTCGAGAAATAGCACCAGGAAGTACTTGGACCAACGAATGACATTGCCACTTTCCCGGGAATGCTAATGCTCCCCTTGGCCTCTGCCTCCTGCAATGTCACCAAGCTCATGGACAGGCTGGGCCCAATGAGCTGGGTGAAGCCTACAAATAGGGGCTCGGTTGGTTTGCAGCCTCTGGGTGGCACTCCTCTGAGCTCAAGCAGTCCTTTGGGAGCTTAAGGGTACAGGCTGGGTTGATTGTGTGGAAGTGTGGGTGTTGGCACAGGTGACTAACTGGCTCTCATTTGCTATTGCATTTTCATTGTCCCCATATCCTAGTTCTGAAAGAGGGACAGGCATCACAACTCCCCAGTGCACAAGGACACCAAACATTTTATGGGTGCCATGTGACCTTGGCCAACCCACAGTGGGTGGGTGGAGTGGGGAGGCAGCCCGATGTATGTGGCAGGGGAGCAGATGTGGCTTTCCCCAGGCATGTTATAAGAAAATCCAGATGAGGATTCCTGCCCAGGCACGCAGGAGACAGAGTGGGAGTCAGCTTCCTGGCATCTTCAGCGCCCACTGCCTCTCAGCTTGGTGACCCCAGTGAGTCACAGCAAGTTCCCTGGGCATCTCGATAGGCGGGGGTGGGAAGGGAGGAGAAAGGCTTGCAGCAGGTAAATCGATCAAAAGACAAGAAGTAGGCAGATGATCTCATTTGAAATGGGCCGAGATGCAGATGTTATCTGCTCAACTACGCAGCACAGAAGGACGGGGAGCTGGGAAGAATGGGGACCCACTTCATGGAGCGGTCCTGCCAGGGCCTTGCTCATGCTCAGGCTGGGCCTTGTCTCTTTCTTTTCTGGGTGTAATGACCACCTCTCTGTGGATGGCTGCTGCAAGCGAGTGTGGGGCCTGTTTCTCTGGGGCCTGGGCCCTGTGGGATGCTGTCCAAGCTGTTACCAGCTCACAGTCAGGAAAGGGGCAAAGAGGAGGGGGCCCTCTAGTGGCCAATCTATGGCTTCAAGTCCTTAGGTTAGAACAAGGACTGAGACCATCTATTGAGCGTGACAAGAATTTGGTTCCAACATTCCAGTTTCCCGAAAAACCTCCTCTTGCACACAGCTGTCTGCCTAATCCTGCAGCCAGTAGGAAGGGGCTCCGGGTCAGGCTGTGTTTGGGGGCTGTCCTTGGGAAAAAGTCACCATGAACAGTGGGAAAAGTCACCATGAACAGTGCAGCAACAAGCAAGGGAAGTGCACAGTGCTGAGAATCTGTACAGGGGTCTAAAGCTAGTTTTGTCCACATTCCTAGCTGTGTGTACTTGAGCAAGTTATTAACTTCTCTGTGCCTCAGCCAAATGCCTGTAAAACCCAGCCAATAACAATGTCAAAATGCTGTATATGTGACGTTCTTAAAGGGTGAGGTTCATGCTTCAAGAAACTTAGAATCTAATGAGCTGAGATATGCACAGGAGTGTCAACAACAAACAGCAACAATAATAGTAATGATTGAGCATGATTGTGTGCCAGACCTGGGTTTTGCATGGGTGGCTCATTTAATTGCCTTATAGGGGCCATGTGGGTCCCTGTAATTGTCCCCACTTTATCAGTGTGGAAAATGAGTCACAGAGAAGTGAAGGTTACCCAGCTTGTCAGTGGCAGAGCTAGAGCGTGAGCCCAATCTTATGTAGGCACCCCTAACCAAGTCTTCTCTCCCCGGCCACAGAGAGGCAGGAGGGCTCATTCCTGGAATGATGACCAGGAGTAATTCAATGGAGAAGGGAAACTGTGAATGGACCTTCAGAGCAAGGGGGGGAAATGTAAGTGTAGATGAGTCCCAGGCATGTTTGAGAGTCAGCTGAGCAGACCCTCTACTGGTGGCTCCTGGTAAGAGTGATGGAGACAGGGCTGAACTCCCGGCCGGCCCTGACTCCAGCTGGACACCACACCAGTGGGAGTCACGGGTCAGTTTTTAAGAGGAAAGATAAGGATTGTTGTTAAGGTGAATTTTGCCAGAAAAGTAATATTAGTGATCATCTATTGGGCACCTACCGTGCATCATGCTTGAATATGTTAATTATCTCAGGCTCATGACCCCAAGTTGGCAATTTTAGGTGAGAAGAGTGGGTGTGAAGAAGCCATGACACCCACCCAAGGACATAGTGATGAACTTGATCAGGCCAGAACTTGAACCCGTTTGGTTTGGTGCCAGTGACATGGGACATATGGTCACAGACAGAGCAGGGGAAGAAGGGGACAAAGGTCTATGTCCTTGACACTGGTCTTATTAAGAAAGGCCCAGCAGGAACTGGAGGGAGTAGCTGGGTAGGCAGTCCTACCAGATTTGATCACAAAGGCCCCCTTTGTCATTGCATCATAGATATCACTGCTGACCTTGGCTGAGCAACCTTGGTGGAGTGGTGGAATGGAGACTAGATGTCTAGTACTCTGGTGTATGTGGCAAGGAAGTGAGGACCAAAGTGAGGAAGACCCTTTCTTGACTCTTTTCAGTACTTTGTTTTCCAATAAAGCCCATTGAATTTGTTGCAGGTTGAGAATATAACTTGAAAGCCTGGGTTTGAATCTGGGCGCTGCTGCTTACTTGCTGTGCAACCTTGGGAATATTGCTTTACCTCTCTGCATCCTAGCTTCGTCATCTGTAAAATAGAACTAATACTATTAGTAACCCACTTCACAGGGGTTTTGTGGGTCCTGAGGGAGACGACACATGTAAAGAGCTTGGTTCAGTGCCCAACACACAGGAACATGTCAAACACAAAATAACGTGTTATTATCACAGAGCTGACTTTTAAAACACTCCAGAACCTTCTGGCTGCCTTCAAAGCATTGCATCCCCTGATCCCTCCTTTCTCCCCAGCCTCACCATCTAGCACACTCCCCTGCCCTGTGTGCACCAGCCACTTTGAACTTCTTGCAGCCCCTGGAATGCAGACCTGGAATCCCTCCTGCCTCAGGGCCTTGGCACATGAACATGTTTACCCAGGCCCTTTTCTATGTCAATTCCTGCTCAGGTAACTGAGTCTTATCTTGAGAAAGTCCCTGGTGCCCCAACAGACTGTTAAGCCCCCTACTCCAATTTCTCATGGTGCCATAGATGGCTTTCTTATAACACTTGGCAGAGGCAGAATTCATTTATTTATTTAAGCAATCTGATGTTGTCTGTCCCCTCCCCTGGACTGTAAGCCCTCTTCTGTCAGGGCCCCCACCTGTGTTTACTGTCTCCAGTATCCCCAGCACCTTGCACGCTGCCTTGTATAAATGAAATCCATAAAGAGCGTCAGGTGACACCAAGCATTAAAAAGGAAGGGTAGCTGAGGGGGGTCAAGGAGTCCTGCAGGCAGCTGCTGCCTGCACTGAGGTCCCACACCCAAGGGCAGACTCCATGGAACCATGCCTCCTGAGGACCCCAGTTGGTTCAACATTCCGGTGTCATCCTCTACCCAAATCCTCAGTCAGAGGCCCACATGCCTCCTCCCTCCCAGGACAGCGAGGCTGGCTGGTGTCCATGGTAAGGCTAGCCCCACTTCCATAGGCTGGGCCTGGCCTTGCTTGGCATTCTGTGAGCACCTTCTGATCCCTGGGCTCTCCAGAGACAATTACCTGGGAATGAAGGCTTCTGGGTGCTCAGTACAACCTCTGTGTAGCATTTTCTCATTCTGAATGCAGCCTCCCAGAGCTTTCCAGAGTTAAGTCAGAAAATTACAGAGTTAAACAAATGACAGCAAAGAATGGGAGGTATTCTGGACCTGAGCAGCAGGTGAAACAAGACAAGTGGAGGCCCGATGTGCAAAGGAAAGAAGAGCTGCCAGCATGCCTCCCCCAGTGGAGGGTCATGTAGCCAGGAAGAAACTGCGGACAATGACAACACAAGAAGCACCTTGTGTTGGTGGCACAGGTGTGTGTGTTCCAGGTCACTGGGAAAGACCACCAGGGGCCAAGTGCCTGTGGCCTTGGTGCACAGTCAGCACTGCATAATGGATAGAGCAGACTCACCACCCTCCAAAACATGCCTACAACTCACCATGGGCTAGGATCTGTCTCCAAAGCCCTTGCGGACATTTTCATCATTGTCAAGTTCATCATTATTGCCATTGTCACCCAGACAACAGCACTGAGCAAGGTCTAGCCTCAGCACTCACAGACACTGTCCCACTCACCTTCACTCCTTCTAGAGGGAGTTACTATTACTATCACTACTTTCTAGATGTGATTTGTAGAAATGAAATGACTTACCAAAGGTCACATAGCAAGTAAGTGGCAGAGTCCAGATGGGTCTGACCCTCACTGAATCAATGACCGCCATATTGATATAGCAATTCTGTAAATTTTGTACAGCCTAGAAGGCTATTCCATATCCACCATCTCTCTTGACTCTCATATCATACAGAAAGATAGGCACTGCCCATTTTATAGCCAAAAAAAAGATGAGTCCAGAGAAAACAGGCAAGTTGTTCATAGATAACTGCTGGCAAGAGGCAGGGGCAGCCTTCTGCCTGTCCCCTCCTCCCATCAGCATGGCCCTATGTCAGGGAGTTTTCCAGAAAGTGGGCAGCAACTGAGTAAAACAAGAAGCAAAGGTGACAGGGAAGGCTGCTGTTACCATCAGACCCTCCTCGTGTTCTCAGGGTGGCTCCTGTGAGCAATTGTAAAGGTGTTCTTCCTCCAGCAAAGTCCAGGTCCCAGGAGAAGCCCAGGCTGTGCCAAGCCTTCCAGCTTTGATAACAATGATGGCAGTTGTGTGACCCCAATTAACCTCCATGAGGCAAAGGAGAATATGTTCTGGAAGTCACCTTCAGGTTGACTCCTGCCTGCCTTGGCCTTGTAAATCCCAGAAACATCCAGGAGATAAAAGGGGGTTGCCTCAGAGGTTGTACACAGAGCTTTTCAAAGACTGCTTTCTATCAAAAACTGGACAAAGAGAGGCCTGTCTCTCTCAGGGAATGTTTATACACTTATGTGTGCATGCCCCATGTCACAACCAGGAACACATGTTGTGTGTAGAACTGCCACTTCCCTGTACAGTCCTTCTCAACTTCCAGAAGACCCTGTGTGGCTCTGGTGTCCCGGCCTTGTCTGTATTCCCAGTCCCTGGAGTTCAGTTCAGGCATGAGCTCTTCAGATGGGTTGCACTTTTCTGACCTTTCTGGATTCTTCTAAAGTGAGGTGACTGCCTTGGTTTCCGATCAATCTGGTTACCAGTTTCCTCCAAGCTCATTTTCCTCATCCACTATGCACCATTCAATACTGCTGATGGCTGCCATCTTCTCTTGGCAGACGAGGGGCCCATTAAAAGAAGCTGGGGTGCCTCATGTGGTTTTCACCTGGAAAAGAGCTTAGAGACTGATCTGGTTGAATCCTTTCATCTTAGAATCAATAAGACTATTCCAGAGAGAAGAATAACAGATGAGTTGGGGCCCAGCTGTGACAAGAACCAGCTTTTCTGAGGTCCTCCTGTATACTGCTCTTTCCCCCGAAGGGCACAGGTCTTGGAAAGGCTGCCGTGGAACCCCTCTTCCTTCACCCTCCCATGCCAGCCATTCCTAGCATTTGTGCAGTCCCAGCCCCTTTGCTTATTAGTTTGGTGTCATGACACATTTTCTCCTCTGAAAGCTGCTTTATACCTTAATGTCTTTTTAACTAAGGTAAAGGAAAATGAATGCACATCTTTTGGAATAATCGGATCCCATGTGATCGTTGTGGATACCCCAGGGTGCATTGAAGCCAAGGTAGATAATTACTCTTCTACACTGAGTCAATTAAACGTAAAAAATACCAAACCTCTACGGTTTATGTTAGCTTGTCACTGCCCTTTCCCATACCCTGTATCACTTCCCCCAACTTATTCTGGCCTGGGGACAAAGGAAAGAGAGATGGGGCTAGAGATGCCAAGTCAGCCATGTGGGCAAGAAACAGTTGCTCTGCTTGGCCTAGTTTGGGGAGGTGTCTGTTTGTGAAGAGACAGACGCCCTGTGTGAGCCTGGGGCACATTCTATCTCTGGGTATGTAGTCATCCTACATTTAGGAAGAGCCCTGGCGGTGGGATCCGGTCCCTTTCCAGCTCTCTCTCCATATGGACATATGGAATTGTTTTGGCATACATAGTGTCATTGTTGGCCAACTTCTACAAACTTGTGAAATGATTTCCAAATTTTAATCCAAAGTTTGCCCTTTCTGGAGGAAAGCTAAGTGTGGGAAAAAGAAATTTGAGGACAGCATTGTTTATGTTGCCTAATTGATTTGGATTTTTAAAAAATAACCAGAGAAGGAACTGGATACCGTGTTTTCCTCTTGCCCATTTTATCAGTTTTAGTTTTCTTAATCTTTATTTACTTCAACCCCTTGCTTTCAACTCCTTTAGCTCTTGCTTTCTTCCCCTCGTCCCCCCCCCCCTGCCGTCCCCCCACCAGGTCTCCAGCAGGGCTGGGCTCTCCTAGTCCGAAGCACACCTGTATTCTTGAACCAGCATTGCACCTGCCTGGACTTTATAGTTTATTTCTGTTGCTCTGCACTCAGACTCACAAGCTGAATTCAAATCAGTGCCGCCACCCTTGAGGGCCTGAGGTACTGAGAGAAGCCCTCTAAAGGATTCCCCAAATAAAGGTGCTAACCGTCTTCTAATTCAACCCCACTCTGTAACCCAAGACTGCTTGATGATAGTCATCAGCCTTCTCTTGGAGAAATACCATTTTTCCTCCTTTGTTAAAAACCTCTTTCATCTGCACTCTAATTCTTTTCAAGGTTAGCTTTATTTTCTAAGACCCTAAGTTTATACCTGCACTGGGTCACATGCCTGGTTTAGGAGCTGGGGCATGAATTGAAAATGGAGGATTGGTGTTGAGATGTAAAAGAAACCAAAATTTGCTAATAGATTTATCCTTCCTGAAGACATATTTGAACTCCCTTGGAGAAAATTAGGGCCAGCCTATCTGTTTCCTACTTTCTTTGCAATGGTTTAGCAAGAATCAAGAATGTATGTACACACACCTGCATATGTGTTCAGGACTGATGGACTTGTTTATAGATTATTGGATGCTTCACTTTTCCTTGTGTCTTTGTTCATCTTTTGTATCAACTGATCAAAATAACAGCATTAGAAGAAGTTTAAAAAAGTGGTCCTTCTGAAATTCAGAGCCGAGGTTATAAAAGTGATACTTAAATATGAGTGTAAGCTGGAATCACCTGGGCCACTTGTTACAGAGTCCTGAGTCTCCACCAGAGAGTCTGTCTCAGGGGGTCAGGGAAGAGACTCAGGAATTCACAGCTGAATCAGCCCAACAGGTGGTGTGGATGAAGTGGTCCCACAGGCTGGGTTTAGAGCATCAATTCCAGAATTGCTGGAAATGACCTGGTAGTCTCTCAACTCTATATCCTTGGTTTTGAATGAAGTTTGGAGCCTAGAAAAGCAAAGTGACCAGGCTCATCTGGTTAGTCAGGACAGAGAATGAACTAGAAATAGGTGCTAGCAATTCCTTTCCCACAGCCCCAGGTATAGGAGAGCAGACAACAGGGAAGAGGCTTGCTTTCCATAGGATAGATTTAAGTTGGACATAAGGAAGAAATTCCTGATGGAGAAGAGTGGTGAGGAAGCCTGTAGCATCCCCTTACCCAGAGGGCCCTAAATCAAGCCAGACTCTCATCAGAAGTGCAATTAGGAGGCAAAGAGAGAGGAAAGGAAGATCCTCACAACAAAGCTGAGTTGTTCTGCACTAAAGGGACTGGAGACCCTTCAGATGGCTCTGCCTATGACCAGGTGGAAACCTGGTCCACAATGTAAGTCACTAATGAACAGGCAGCCTGGATCCCAGCCTCAGCTCTGGCAAGGATGGACTTGGTGTCCACTTGTTGGGCTACTTGCTCCATTTCCTGGTGTCATTTCCTCTCTGAGAAATGACTGCAGTTGATTGGCTATTGTTTATTTCTCCAGCCCCGCATTTTTACCTTTCACTGTAACTCCCCTACCACAGCATCAGCGAGGTTGTGTTGAGGAAATAAATTGAGTCAGAACTATTCAATATGGAGGACCTGGGAGCCTCTCTGCTGGTTTCCCCTCCTGTGTGCCTCCTGGAACTACTAGAGATAAAGTCTGAGCAGTCTGACCCTTCTTGCTGCTTGATCACCTGTGTATTTAGAGGGCTGTGACCACAAGTGGCCATGAGTCACAGCTTTGACACGCTGTCCTTCCAAGAGCAATGGTTCAGATCTGAGCTACGCTGCATCTCTTTAGAGTCACTCCTGGAGCCAAGTAGCCAGTGCAGAATCATGTCTCTTCAGCAGGGACACCCTGTAGTCAGAAGTCCCTGTGACCCCCTCCTACTAATGAGCTCCCTCTGTTCCTTTCAGAAAGCAGATTTGGCTGTGGCAGGCCTCACCATTACAGCTGAACGCGAGAAGGTGATTGACTTCTCTAAGCCATTCATGACGCTGGGAATTAGCATTCTTTACCGAGTTCATATGGTAAGAGACTTATTTTATAAGCATTTATGTCATTAAAGTTATTTGCATGCAAACACTGAGTTATATGGTAATAATGAATGACTCACAGAAATATTTAGATTTCAGGACTTAAATGCAAATGTGCTGGGCTATTTTTTCCCCCATCAGCTGCAGGAACTTACAGACAGGAGGCATGGATAAGTCAGACTTGGGAGCTTTCCAGTACAAATTGCTTCTGCCTCTGAATAAGGATGGCCAAGTGGAATGGGTTTGCACTTGGTGCGTAGTGTGGCAGTAACTGGCCCTGTGGGTCACTGTGCTTCCTCCTGGGGGCAGGACCTAAAGCCTCTGTTAGTCCTCCCAGCATTCTCCAGGATTTCTCTGCCTCCCAGGTCCACTGTGTTCATTGTGAGCCTTGCATCTGGTGAGGAATGAAGGCTTCTTATCTGATTATTCATACTGGGGAATACAGAGATGGTCATCTAATTAATGTCAGTTATACCTGACCCTCTGTGTTCCCCCTTAAAAGAAAGATTTCTCTAGCTAGATTGACCAGAGCAACTGTCAAAATGAGAATGTGAGAACACACCAATTGACAGCCAAGAATGAATGTGACCCCTGAATAGCCTGGCTGGTGACTGAGCAGGGAAGAGTTACCCTGGCTGGGTCTTGTGCATCAAGTAGGTAATGGTTCTACTGCCAGTCAATAGCTGACTTGTCCTAGTTTTCCTCTCTGGACCAGAGAGCCTTCCTCTCCTCCTTTATCTAAACTTGCTCAGTGCACAGCTGTCGTAAGGATTTCCCTGTGCCATTGTCACTATCAGTGACAACAGTTCAGCTGCTGTGAACATAACCTGGCACCATGAGACTGCTCAACAGGGAGGGACCAAGAGACACTCACATGCCTACTGAAGTGATCCCTTCCCAGGGCCCAATGGTAGCCCTAGAGAAAGGGGTCTACTATTCACTTTTGCTGCCTCAACCTGGCTCCTGTTGGTGTTGAGATGCAGAAGAAACTGACATTTGCCAATGGTTTTATCCCTTCGGTACACAAAGCATCATTCCCTTGGCAGTGAGAGCCAGCATCAGAAGTTGTGTCAGGGTTCTCTAGGAACATGGTCTCCTTATCACAGAGCCACACAGCCTGTGTGGCAGCTCAGATGAGTGCTGGGCTTCCATGTCCATCATGGTCACCACCCATCTTGAGTAAGATGGCCAGTCATCTGAAAAAAAAGAGATAGCATCAAAATTACAAGCTCCCCAGGCTAAGACAGAAGGAAATATGAGGACATGATGACAACCAGCACGGTTACTGATGTGTCCGTTTTGTGGAGGAAGGAGATTTGATCGCACCTGGCAGTGTCTTCCTCCTGTCTACAATGATGACAGTCCCACTCACTGAGCACCCTTATGTCCCAGATACTCTACCAAGTGTTTTTGATGTGGGTCCTAGCTTTGGGGGGAATTGTGTCCCTCCCTCTCAAAGCACAAATTGAAGTCCTCACCCCAGAACCTGCGAACATGACCTTATTGAAAAATAGTATTTGCAAATGTAATCATGGGAAGATCAAATCATATAGGATTAAGGTGATCCTTAATCCCTCCAAGAAGAGGGAAATGTAGACACAGACACATAGGGGAAAAGGCAATGTGGGTTCAAAGGAAGAGATTGGAGCGATGCAGCCACAAGCCTAAGAGCAGCTGGGATTGCAGCAACCAGAAGCTGAAAGAGACGAGAATAATCCTCCCCTAGAGCCTGCAGGGACAGCCAGGCCCTGCAGATACCTTGACTTTGGCTTTCCAGCCTCCAGAACTGTGAGATGATAAGTTTCTGTTATTTTAAGTCACTCAGTTGTGGTACTTTGTCATTACCATGCTAGAACACTAAGAATGGTAACTCTTATTAATTAATTAATTAAAATAATTAATTAATTAATTTGTTTGCTTATTTTGGCAGTTCTGGGGTTTGAACTCAGGGCCTCATGCTTGCTAGTCAAATACTCTATCACTTGAGGCATTCCCCCAGGTCTTTCTGCTTTAGTTATTCTTCAGATAGGGTCTCATGCTTTTGTCTGAGTGCTGATCTTGGACTGTGATCCTTCTACCTAAGCCTCCTGCATATCAGGGATCACAGCACCACACCTGGCTTATTTGTTGATATGGGATCTTATTAACTTTTTGCCTAGGTTGTTTTCAAACCATGACCCTCCTGACCTCCGCCATCCAGGTAACTAGGATTATAGGCATGCACCAGCATGCCTGGCCTATTGTTCTTATTTTATAAATGAGGAACTGAAGTGAAATCAACTTAAAAAGGGAACAAGTCCACATGCTAATAATTTACACATTCTAATAAGTGAGGGAGCAGGATTCAAGCCAGAAATGGTGTGATTTCCACTCTGTGCTCTCTCTATGACCTCAGCCCACTCCCTTGCAAATGGTACTTTGTTCTATAAGGCCCCTCCTGTAAGTACTCCCTTCTAATTTGATCCTCAGGCATGTTCTCTGATGAAAGTGGGTGAGTATTGAAATTTATTTGTCAGACAAGAACAGGGAAAACCAGAGTCACACCTACAGCTAACTCAGGGCAGGGCCTAGAATCCCGGCCTACTCACTTCAGGTCAGTGTTCTATTACTCATTACCTCTCTCTGCTCCCTGGCCAGTTTTCCAGCCAGCACCATTTCTCAAAGTGCCTCTCACTTCTCTCCGTTGAGCCCTTGGGGCATCCAAAGACATGGAGATATCAACCAGCTATAGACACATAAGTAAACTCTGATTTCTTTATTAACTAGAGCCCTGTTGATGACGTGATGACACAGAGAACCATGTGGCTGGAGGCACCTGACACCAGGTGTTTCCATCCACTGTCAACACCTGCTGCTGGGCTTCTCAGCAAGTAGGGCGCCACTGCCTTGAATAGCAACTCCAGCCAGAACCACACTCCAATCCTCTGGACCTCCCAAATTGCACTGTTGACCAGATATTTCCTACCACATACAAACCTATGACTGTATAAGTTCCCCTGCATCAGTTCCCAGAATATTGAGTTTTATGTGCAACTTGACTAAGCTATGTTGACTAGATGTTTGGTCAACCACTAGTCTAGGTGTTACTGTGGAGGGTTTTTGGAGATATGGTTAAAGCCTATAAAGAATTCACTTTAAGTAAAGGAGATTACCTTCAAGAATGTGAGTGGATTGCAGCCAAACAGTTGAAGGCTGTAAGAGCAAAAACTCAGGTTTCCTGAAGAAGGAAATTTGCCCAAGACCATAATAGAGATCCTGCGTGAGTTTCCAGTCTGCTGACATTTCAGACTTACCAGTTACCACAATCATGTGAACTAATTCCTTATAATCAATATAGGTAGGGAGAGAGAGAGAGAGAGAGAGAGAGAGAGAGAGAGAGAGAGAGAGAGAGAGAGATGATAGTTAGTTACTCAGATAGATTGATAGATAGATAGATAGATAGATAGAGGACTGATATGTTCTCCCAGTCTGGTCAGGATTCCTCCCCTCCTCTGGCCTCCCCTTGGAGGACCCAGTATGCCACATGGCTGCTCAGATCTGATTTATGATGGGGCCAAACTCAGTGAAAAATGAGTGCTGGCATGAACAGCTTACACTGAGCAGAACTGACAGTTTATGCATCTATTCAACAAATATTTATTGAGTGCATTCAGTGTGTGAAGCACTAGTCTTAGAAAGTACCAAAAAGTCAGCTTGGGAAAGAACGATCCTTAGTTGACTAAAGCAGACACCTGGTGACAATGAGTCTGAAATAAACTCTGCTGTATGTGACACAGACACCTTAGCAGGAATCTCTACATAGAGAAGCTATCTCTAATATATTAGTGCCAAGGTAATGAAATTAATGTTAAATAATGGGTGTTTATTATTTTGTGAGTTTTCTCTAATTGATGGTTATTTTTGAGCAAAAACATGGTTCATTTAATCTCATTTATGATCTATAAGGATCTAGACTCTATGGTATGTCCATGAGGTCACCTGACTAATGAGTGATTGTTACCAAAAAGTGAGCATCTTGTGGCACTTAAATCTGTGTCTAAAAGTAGAATTAAAGTTACCCAAAGTGTAAATGCCTAGTTAAGAATTATTTATTTATTTTTAACACAAAAATTGTACATATTAATGGGTACCATCCAATGTTTCGTTACATATGAATGTTGTGCAATGTGATCCCTAGTCAAGAAAATTGCAAAAGCACCCAGAATAAGAAGTGAAAGCAAGTATGTCTCTGAAGCTCCAAGATGACCAGAAATGACTTGTGCATTTCCAACACTTAAGATTATCTGGGCTTTTTCATGAACATGGGTCATCAAGAGTTTATTATGGGCTATTTTCCCTCTACCCAACATCAGGGTACAATGTCTGTTTCTGCTCATGCATCTCTAAGAACAAAATAAGGAGAACATTTTGCTCTGTTTACCACCTACTCCCTGCTCTTGACAGGCTGGCTGGGGAGTTTGGCTTTAGCATGAGTAACTGTTGATCCATCCTGTGTTTTAAAACTCTCTCCAGTCCTAGCATGCAAGTCACCATTTTCTCCTGGTGTTTCTTGTGCCTCTTCATCATTTTAGTTTACACCTCTCTGCATCTCCTCTTCCTCCACCCTCTCCTTTTCTCTCTTCTTCTTTTCTCTTCTGTGTCTGTCTGTCTGTCTGTCTCTCTCTCTCTCTGTATCTGTCTCCCTGGATAATCCCACCCACTCCCAATCTGAGAATCTAACCCTGGCCTCCCCTGAATTCTCATAGGGCAGAAGATGTCTCATAGACACCCCCAAGCCATCATAAACCACATTCAGAATGTTTCTTACATTCTGAATACCTCTTATTCTCTCTACCAAATCACAGGAAATAGCATCTCTATCCGGTAACCTGAGTTGTCTTGACTTTCCTCACCTCTCCTCTCACCTCCTAAATAGTTCTGAAACATCCCTTGCATCCTTGTTTCTTCTGCTTCTCTCTAACCTGACCTGCTGCCATTCCAGCAACCCATATTCT